CTTCGTTCTCACCATGCATTATAGTGCTGAGCAGGAGATCTCGACCAACTGCAAGGGTCTCTAATACAGGAAAGCAGTTTCAGTTTTAATCTGGGGGAATGGGAAGTCAGGTTGATGATGTGTCTCCCCCGACTTGAAGAAAGTCCTGCTCTCCTGATGGCTCTGCCTCCCAGCCTCCTCTCCTGATTTTTCCTCACCACCGCACCCCCACTCCCCTGACCCTGCAGCCTCTGAGCCATCACCAGTGCTGTTCCTTGGTGGCCCTGCCCTTCCTACCCTTTTCCAAGTCATCCCTCCCTGTCAAAGCTGGCTCCCCCAGCTTGTCACACACAGGTGGCCAAGGATCACTATATCCAGGGCAAATTCTATTGATCATTGGAGTAGAAGTGTTTTGCCATTACAACAAAACACCAGGGGCAGGCTAACTTAGCTGTCAAGTTTATTCAGTGTGAGTTTTAGAGGCGGGAAGGCAGTGGAAGGTGTCACAGCATGGCGGGAGCATGCTTGGGAGCAAGCAGACACATCTCCAAGGAGGAGATGGCCAGCAGAGAGGCCGGGCTTGCTCCTTGATAACCACGTCTGCCAGGGCCCACCGGGAGACCCCTCCCTGAGGTGTACCCCCATGGCCCAGGGCCTGCTACCAGTTCTGCTCTTAAAGACTGCACCCCAAAGCCTCCAGCCTGGGGGCAAAGCCTCGAACATGTGGACCTGTGAGGACACTCGAACCTCATCCCAGTGTGGTGCCCACAAAGCAACACGGACTCCACATCCTGCCTCGGGGCAGCCTCTACAATTCCCACAGGGTCTCCCGAGCCCGGGCGGGAGGGCTTAGCATTTACCACGCTCCCCATGTGATGGCTGGTGCGAGGCCCTGCACACGGGCAACTCAGAAGGATCTTGCTCTCCCTTTCTGCCTGCAGGCTTGGTCTTTCTGCTTGGGAAGCCTCATGCTTTGGGGTTTCATTATACCCTACATTGAAGCAGAGTGTGTCAGAACTGCAAAGGTAGGACCTTGCCCTTAATGTTGGCTACCAGCATTTACTGAGCACTGACTATGTGCAACAGGTCTGTTTCCAGTCCCTATTTAACTGTTCCAGCAAGGGTAGGAGGCAGGTGCTATCATAATTCCTTTTCTATAGGGAAGGAAATGAGGCTAAGGGAGGTGCAGGAAATGTCCCAATCTGTGCTGAGTGGTATACATGGCACCGAATCTCTTCTGGTATAGAAAAAAAGGTTTCCATTGTCAAATGTAGCTACCTGCATCCCCATAGAGAAGCCACAAGGCACACTCATGCACTAAAAGCCCTGAGAAGGACTGCAGCAAAAACAAACAAAAAAAACAAAAAAACTGTTTAGCTCAGGGTCCTTTTTTGGGGGTGGGGGGGTACCAGGGAATTGAACTCAGGACCTTGTGCTTGCAAGGCAGGCAGTGAAACCACTGAGCCAAATCCCTGGACCATGGTCTCTTTTATTGTAGACCTCACAGAACCAGACAGCAGTTTGGGGAATGCAGATTACGACCAACCTCCTCACTGACTGATGGGCTAATGAGGCCCCAGCCAGAGAGTGGAGTGGAGCAGGCACAATCCACATCTTTCTTGTGTACAGAGAAGGCCGCCTAGTCTGTTTTCATAAATATTTCACAGAACATTTTCTAATCAAGATCCCTCAATCATGGATGAGCCAATCAACAAACACCCAGAAAGGGCTGGGGATTTAGCTCAGTGGTGCCAAAGCCTTCCTTGCAAGCACAAGGACCCAAATTCAATCCCTAGTACCCAAAACAAAACTAGAAAGGATAGTTGACTTTATCCAAGGTCACACAGCCAATGAGAGACAGAAACAGAATTAGACACACAAAGAGATCCCAGGACTCTGAAATCCAAATATTCTTTAAAACACAAGTCAGACAGATGGAAGGAAGATGGAGGCTTAGTGTGTTCACGTCCAGCTGCTCCAGCCTTGCTGTTACTGCATGTTCTGTATGCACTGCTCAGATAGCTGCTGCCAGCACAGGAAGCCCCCAACGACCAGAAATGAGGAATACAAAACTCACTCAGCCGAGTGACACAGAGAGGCAGTAGAATGGAAGTAAGATAACAAAAGTTTACTCCACCGATGGGGGCCGATCACACATAAGCTGTGCCTAGAATGACGACGCACTGGGTTACAACTCCTCCTTTTATAGGCTTTCACAGCCTTGACTTCATTTGGGTGGTTACATTCCATTCTCACAGTTCACATCGCGGTCCCAGGGTAAACTTTTAACCCAGATGAAACAGTTCTTTGCAGTGGGGGAGTTTACCTTTAAGATTCACCTACTTACCTATTCTAGTCCATAGGAAGGGGGTGTTCAGGGTCGGGGGAGCAAATGTCAGCAGTGGGTTCTTTTATCAGACACTTTTACGATCAGGTGGCTCCAGTCTCTTTGGAGCTGAAGACCTTGATGCCCCAGTTATCTCAGGGTAAGACCAAAAGCCTCAGTCAGCAATCAGTGCCTTTGGTGCCTATTAGTTCTGAGCTAAACAAAACAAACCGCTGTTAAAGACAGCAGAAGCCATTTTACACTGTAACTCTCCATAGGTTTTTGCTACTTATAAAAGTTTTCCCTGTCATTACTTTGATTTCATTTCCATTCCCTGGTCAGCTGATAACCATATATTCATATTTTAAGGATATGTGACTATGTCCTTTGGTAACGTCTTCAGGTTTTTAACCTTATTTTTTATTGAGTTCTAAATCTTTGTATATTGTAGAATCATATCTATGAAATAAATGATCTGCAAGTTTTTCCTTTCACTCAATGGAATATCTCACTTCCTTTGGGGGGTGCCGGGGATAGAACTCTGGCCCTTGTACTTGCCAGGCAGGCTGCAGAACCAAAGCCAAATCCCTAGCCCTGTCCTTGATATAGTTTTGAACCATTGTTTTTTTTTTTTTTCCTTTGGGGGTCTCATTGTGGCTGTTTTCCAAATCCCTAGCCCTGTCCTTGATATAGTTTTGAACCATTGTTTTTTTTTTTTTGTTCCGGGGAATCAAATTTGGGACCTTGGGCTTGCGAGGCAGGCAGTGGCACCACTGAGCTAAATTCCTGGCTTGAATCACAGGTTTTAAATTTTCAGCAGTCTAATTTATTTTTTGTTCCTTATGCTTTTGATGTCTTAACTAAGAAATCAACACTTAATCCATATCTCTAATTTTTTACTCTATGAACTTCTAAATTTTATATCTAGGTCTCTTAATTTTTAATTGTTTGGCATGTGGATATCCAGTTGACCCAGGACTATTTGTTGAAAAGTAGGATGTACAAATTTCTAGATAATGTTTCTGAAGAAAAGAAACAAATAAAACAAGAAAACAAAAACAAAACTAGAAAGGATAGTTGACTTGAATTTGAAAGGATAGGGATTGAATTTGGGTCCTTGTGCTTGCAAGGAAGAAACAAAAAAAAATAGTAAAGGATAAAAATTATAACCAATTATGCTAACCATGTCTGAATGAATAATTTCACTTTAAAGTCTACCATACCAGGTAAATCTGATAGAAGACCTTGAACTCTTTCCTAACTACAAGAACAACTACCTGGGCTAAAGGCAGTGATGGCAACAGTCTCATTTTCAGTGTTCATCTGCCCAACTGATGCAGCACTTAAAAATGGAAAGACATCAAATTCTTCAAACACAGACTACATTAGTCCACTAGTCCAGCATAACAGCAAAGAATAGACACCATACATATGCAGCTTGCTTTAAATAAAGATCGGGTACAAAATGCAGACTTATGTAAACAATAAGTTAAAGGCGGGGATTTACAAATACTGCACAATATTCATACTTCTCAGTAGGTCTTGTGCAAAATGTAGTACAACACTGATTACACTTCAAAATATAAGCCTTTGAGGTAGAAAAAACAGCTGTATTAAAATAGGAGCTTCAATTAATACAGTTTTTATTTCAACAATCATTTTTTTGCAATTGTGAGTATTTTATTGTTTTTGTGATACCGGGGATGGCATCCAGGGCCGTACACAGGCTCGGCACGTGCTCCACCACTGAGCTGCACCCCCAGCTTACGTTTTCATATGAGGGTTAACTGTACTTCTGGACATTCATTAAACGACAAAAACACAACATCCTGTTTCTTCTCATTGCTTAGCATACTCCCCTTAGTGAAGGCAAATGTACCAATATGCTTGTCTATTTATCTTTCCAAATGCAGGTGTGAGAGGATGGAGAAATTTAGTGAGCTTCCACCTTCAGATTTAAACTCAACTTCTGGAAAAATCCATTCTATACGATTTTTCATGTCCACTGTCAATTGTCCACCTCATCCATCCGTATTAATCGCAAGCCATGGTATTTCATTATTCATTCAATGCTAAGCATCTCATTATTTTCGTTTCCCTGCAAACACTTCAGGAGTTCAAAGGCTTCTCCTCCCCATTTCTGAACCCTGAGCTGCTCCAACAGGAGTCAACTATTCACTCTGTGAAATCCCAGCACTACTAAGGCCGAGACAGGAGGATACGGAGTTCAGGCCCATCTTGGTTACAAGCAAGTTTAAGGCCAGCCTGGATTACACACCAAGACCTCAACCTTAAAAATAAAAGATTCAGCATCAATTATTCAAAAGCATGTTCAGTTAGGGGTACAGATTAATGGTTGTGCGTACTTCCCTAGCATGTGCAAGGCCCTGGGTTCAATCCCCAGCACCACAGAAGAAAAAAGTATTTCTGAGCTTGGGGCCTTGGCATAGTGAAAATCATGTCATCTTTGTTCCTCCCAGACTATCCTAGCCTAGCTACAAAACAGAACAATCTCATGGCTTCTGTACTTACCTTCTGCCTAACGAAGTACTTTTATTTGAAGGAACTCTGGGACATGGGGATTTTTATAATTGATATTTTGCTTTATCTAATGTTCAAACTACTATTTAACTTTCATATTTAAGAAAAAAAAAATTTTTTGGACACTGGGTCTAACTATGTAGCCCAGGCTGGACTCAAACTCATGGTGATCCTCCTGCCTCAGCTTTCCAGTGCTGGGATTACAAGTGTGCACTACCATATGAGGCACTCAGTGTACTTAAGAACTGTAAACAAAAGCTACTTTAGGAAATACAGTCTGTTTGTAAAAGGACTTGGTGCTTGGGGGTCTCCAAGTTTTTCAGTCACATGAATCAATTTTACAGAACTTTTAAGGTAGCGTTTTGGTGGTGGTCTAATACTACACTTAACTACTTCCTACAGTTTAGAAAATTCAGAAACCTTGCAGTCCACATGAGCACATTTTATGATATGCATTAAATCAGAATTCCAAAATTGTCCACTGTGCAGAACAATCAATTTATAAAATGTGATAAAGTGAGCTTTAATAAAAATGTGAACATATTTTAGGTTTCTCATTTGAATGGATACCCACTGTTATGGAGTAAAGGCCCGGATTTATTGGTATTGGTGAAACTTGGAACATCCATAATCCTGTAAAAATGACCAGTGTTTCCTTGGCGAAGCTTTCATTTCAAGTCTTTCTGAATGATGCCTTAAGGAGTACTGAGCTACGTCATTAGCTCTCATATTTAAGAAACAGATTATTATCTCCTTTAGCAACTTTACAAAGTGGTTGATGGCACACACTTCTCCATCAAAAAGATGCTCATCTAAATCTACGAAAAGGTAAGAGTGCCCAGAAAGCTCATGGAGTATTTTCTGTTGAAGAAACAGTTCCCTCTGTTCAGGAACTAGTTCAAAAATCGCCTTTCTTGAATGAGTTCTTACAACTTGGTCACAAATATGAATGACCCTACAGAGGCTTTCTGAAGGCAAATGAAACCCATTTTTCTTTTTAACACATAATAGTGACCCAGTTTTGGGGGCCTTGGGATCCGACGCATACAGTGCACCGATGCAGTCTTCACACAGCAAAAGAACTGACAACCTATCTGCAACGTACCCAGCACAGTAGATGAGCCTTTGCCTGTGCTCTGACAGGTCTAGTAAGGCCTCGCTGAGGGAGCAATCAGACCAGTCATGGCAAATATCCTCTTTGTGAAAGAGAGAATTTATGACACTGCCACCATACTGACGTTCAACTGTCCGAAGGGCCAGATCTTTCCTCTGAGCAATTGAAATGTCAAAGATGCTTACTTCACTTAGGAAAACTTCATCTTGAAATCTGTATCTGCTCTCCAAGTTATGGTACGCTTTCTGGAAAGCCATGCAGGTAAGGCTAGAACTGGTTACCAACATTTGCCTAAGCGTATTTAGAAAGAACTCTACATGGTCCTGACTGAACTTGTACGTCAGAAGATATGAAAAAGGCACAACCTTTGGAGAAACATAATTTTGGTAGAGCCATTTTAGGCTCTCCCCGTTAAGCAAAAATCCCAGAAATCCTAGTTTTCGTTTACCTTTAATGATCTGATTATTGCTATTGTCAGACAGTGTAAGAAAAATAGTCTTGGCTTCAATTAATACATGATTTATTTCACTAAAAGTTTCAGGCAATAGGGGTCTCTTAAATCCCTTTCCGTAACAGTTCCTACCATTAAAAATGTCAAACAGATTGCTAATTAAGCGTAAAAAATGAATGGTACCGATACAGTTTTGAAAAGGAGGCAGACCTAATGACAGCAAATATTCCAATGCAATGGCTACATTCTCACTAAAGAGTTGGGCAGCACAATTCATTTTCAGTACATGATTTTTCAAGTTTGCGAGTTTACTTGAGATTCCTTGCATACGTGCTAATTCCTGTTCACCTAGTAGGGCCAACTCTACAAGGTGCTGCCAATGTGCTGCTCCATTAATGAACTGAATGCTTTGATAGCTCTGAAATGCATTTCTTATTAACTTCAGCAAGTGGCAAGAATCAAAGAAGTATGCGATCTGTTGGCTAGAAGACGAAGGATGCTGGAACGTGCATTTGATGTTCTCTCCGTCCATATGTATTCCCAAGGCTTTAGCCATTTGGACACTGTGAGCTGTAGCATCAGATGTAACAGCCAGGACGGTCATCCCTACATCACTCAGTTTGCCAATAGTCAGACGAAGCAACTGAGCTTGCAAGTATCCACATGCTCGGTTTACAAAAAAGTAACCAAGAGGCACTCTCCAATGACCAAAAATACCCACTGCCATTAACAGAACAGTTTCTGCGGCCAGTGGCGTTTCATCGGCATCAAGTTTCCCAAGACCAAAGTCCATAAACCCTTGCAGACTCTGGCTGCTGGGATCCCACTGGAGCTGCTGCTTGAGAGGTATGCCTTTTATTATCAATGAGCAATACTGATAGCGCTGGTCTCCACTCTCTACTTTTTGTTGGAGGAAAGAAAAAATGTTGCTATTGAAGCCTGGACTGGACTTGCATTTGGACAGCCAACTGGAAAACATGAAAAGTGAAAAAGTATAAGGCACAAATGAAGAAATATAAAGATAAAAAAGATGAAAAGGGAAATACCTTAAATGGATTACAGTAGCCTCAAGTCCCTGTAGACATAAAGCCACTGTAAATATCCAAGGCACATTTTCAAGGATACATTCAGTAATGAAACAAGAATAAGTCTAGAAACAGTATTTTAAAATAATATACAACATAATTTAAAATTTCTCATTCTTTAAAAGTATACAAATCCTGCTGGGCACGGAGGTGTGGGCCTGTAACCCAAACACTTAGGAGACTACAGCAGGACTGCAGTGAATTCGAGGCCAGCCTACACTACACAGCCAGACCTTGTCTCAAAAAAAATGTATACAAACCAACACCCGAGTTTGTTCTAATTCATCCTTTCAAGACACAGATCCCAAAGCAGTCTTACCTGTAAATCCACTTAAAGGAGAAAACTACTGAATAGGTGGGAACCCTTGAGAGCTTCTAGTCCATTCACATTTTATAGGCTAGGAAACTGGCACAGAGAGTCAGGGTAAGTGACTTGGCCTCTGTTGTGCTTCTAGGAACGAATGTGGGATGGAACCCAGCTTCCTCACAGCCAGGGCTTCAATGTGTTTTTCAGTCCTAGCCTCAAAGGAAACCTTGGTGGCTGTTAAGGACTCTTCATTTTCTCATCTTTACATAATACATTTTGCACTATCACCTCAGGAGCTCTTCCTAGCACACCTGATGTTCTGGACTTCCAAGTATCTTTTCTGTTATTACTGTTACTATTTTCAGAATGCTTCTTGATTTTTTCCCCCCTTCTTACTTCTAATTTGCTCCTTTTAATTTGTTGTACATCCAGAGAAAGAAAACAGCTATATACATAGCACTGGAGATTGAACTTGGAACCTTGTGCTTGGGAGGCAGGTTGCAGCACCGCTGCCTGTATATATATTTTAAAACAGGATCTTGCTATGTAGTTTAGGCTGGCCTTGAACTCACTATGTAACCCGGGCTGGCTTGGAACTCATGGTGATCCACATGACTCAGTCAAGTGCTGACCACGCCCAGCAAAAACAGCCATTCTGCGATCTTCTACAACAAGGTTACATAGGGCCAGGGATTTAGCTCGGCGGTTTGGTGGCCTGCCTTGCAAGCGCAAGGACCCCTCAATCCCCGGTACCAATAAACAAACAAACAAACAATAAATAAATAGAATAAGGTTACACTCAGGTGTGTGGTGCCACATGCCTGTAATCCCAACACTTTGGAGGCTGGGGCAGGAGGACTGCCTTGAGTCTGAGGCCAGCCTGGACTACATAGCAAGACCCTGTCTAAAACAAACAAACAACAACAAAAAAAGATTACAGTAGATTCATTTGGAAGTAGAGACTGAGGTGTTCATCTATAACTGAAATAAATCATTCACATTTCTTTTTTTACATTTTTAGGGCTTTTGTAAATATTTCAGTTGTAATCTACATTTCACAAATAAAATTCACCTTTTCTATATATCATGCACTTTCACATACAAAATATACATACATGTTACTCTTCAATGGCAACTATGATACACTAAAACTGATTTCATGCACTAATGGTTTTTTTTCTTTTGCTATTGGGGACAGAACTCAGGACTTGTGCTTGTAAGGCAGGCAGACGTAACACTGAGCTAAAATCTCTGGCTCCAAATGGTTCTGAAATACATTTATCTGATGCCAAAAGACATAAATTGTAAGTAGCTTATTTTTGACAAAAGCATCAGTTGTTTGTAATTTAAACTAAGACTCTAATAGTAAGACAATGAGAAAACAGGACAGTGGTATTACAGCTCTCCAGTATGTTAAAAACTCCCAAGTATTGTACAGTGGTACCTTGGTTTGCAAACTTAATTTGTTTTACAATTTTGGGGAAGAGGGCTATGGTCATGTTTGTTGTCACCCAATGCAGTTTGTGAACTGAAGCAAAATTTTGCTCAAGGCTTTTGTTTGCAAACCAAATCATTTGTGAACTGAGATATTTTGCTTAAAATTTAGCCAAACATAGTGGTGCATGCCTGTAGTTCCAGCACTCTGAGAGGCCAAAGCAGAAGGATCACAAATTCATGCCCAACTTGGGCAACTTACCGAGAACCTATTGCAAAATAAAAAGGGCTGGGATGAAGCTTAGTGTGAAAGCCCTAGGTTCCATCTCTAGCACTACTAGGAAAAAAATCTACATGTACCTGTACAGTAATTTTTTAATATTAGGATTCTCAAATGAACACCAGATGTGCAAATGTCTCATATCCAAAAAGTATGTAATGAAACTTAAAAACTACATAATGCCTCTGTAAGGTTTTAATCTAAAAAAAAAAAAATTTCTTTTAAAAGACAGGGCCTTGCTACGTATTTTAGTCTGGCCTTGAGCTCACTATGCAGACCAAGATTGCCTTGAACTGCCGTGATCCCTCCTGCCTCAGCCTCCTGAATGCTGGGGTTACAAGCATACGCCACCACACCTAGAACAGATATGCTTTTAAATGTCCTTAATTATAAAGCTATATAGAAACATTTTCAATATGTACAGTTTATTATAGTTAAACCATAAATAATTTAACCAAACCACACTGAAGGATATTTAGGTTTCACATTTTCACACATAAGCAGTGCCATGGTGTGTGTGTACACCTGTATGCTCACATTGACACACACTTACGCTATGCACCTAATTCCTAGGAACAGAAAGCAGAGGTAAATTGTGTGTGCGTTGTGTTTTTTTGGTACCAGGAATCGAATTTGGGACCTCGCGCTTGGAGAGGCAGGTGGCAGAACCACTGAACTAAATCCCCAGCCCAAGCAGAGGTAAATTTACATGTGCATGTTTTCGGATAAATGAACTAAACTTTCATAAGAAATTCAAAACAAATTTTGGATTTCAGGTGCACATAATTGAGTGGGCCAATTTAAAGCTCATAAAGTCCCAAACCATCCTTCAGAGAGCTCATACCAATTTGACTTTACAGTCAACAACATTCTTTCCATTGTTTGGGTACTGGGGATTGAAATCAGGACCTTGCACTTATGAGGCAGGCATGGTGCCACTGTACTAAATTCCCAGCCCTCAACATGATCTTTTTCTTTTTCCCCCCCAGACAGGGTCTCACTATGTAGTTGAGACTGACCTGGAACTCACTATGGAGCCCAGGCTGGTCTCAAACTCACAGTGATCCTTGTGCCTCAGCCTCCTGAGTGCTGGGATTACAGGTGTGCACCACTGTCTATCCTCAACATGATTTTTAATGTAACTACCATCTAGTAGCTTTGTCATGGAATGATCAGCTGGGTGACTTAAAACAGCCTGGAAGCAAGGTAGACCCCATTATACTGAGGGTACCAAACTTCCTCTACAGGAAGTGCTTTCTCTCACGGTCATCACCCGTAGAGGAAGTTAATTTACCTGCAGTGAACACACAGAAGCTGTGTAACAGGAAATACAAGTAACAACTGCGCAGGCTTTTTCTATGACCAAGACCATACTAACTGCATCATTATTACATAAAATTAGGAAAACTGACATTATTACATGACTTCACAGCACTTGTGAAAGCACGCCATTTTAGTAACCAAAGCCCTGAAAGTTCAAAAAGCAAATTCTAAGTTGTAGTCAAAAAAGAACTGAGAGAACTGAAAAAGGATCTAACATCAGTACAAAAAAAAACTCAGGTGTTAGATGCACCTAAGAATTAAAGATGTATGGCAATTAGAATTAGTGAGGTAATTACCTAACCAAACCAAATAACAGTTTAAGCTTGGTCTGTCATCACCAAATAGCCATCTGTTTAACAATTTTTACCACAAATTTGGCACTACATTTTTGCGTAACTTATTTCTCTGGTCTCTGAGCTGATTGTGTGTATTTCCTCCTTTGTCTTCAAACTTCTGATGCTTCCCTCAACTCTACTAATAAGCTTTATTTTATTGAGAAAATAGAAGTACTCAATCATTCTCGTGAGCGAGCAAACATGCTGAACACCTGCCAAATCAAACACCCTTCCTTCTACCTACCTAGAGACCCATTTTCCTGCTGTCTTTCATAGGAAAATGGCCTCAAAGAGCCTATAATTACTTTTTTGTTTTTTCAATTTCTGATGTCTTGACTCCATCAGCCAGGTTTACCTCTTCACGCTCCACTGTAACTGCTTTTGTCAAGTTCATCAAAGACCTCCACCTTGCATAACCCAAGGGTCAATTTTCGGTCCTCATCTTACCTGATCTCCCAGCAGCATTTGACAGACTGGACTATTCCCTCCTTGAAAAACTTTCTATACTTGGCTTCCAGGCCATCACAGTCTCCTCGTTTTCCTCCTGCCTCACTGGCTGCTGCTGATCAATAAATATTTATTTAATAAATAATTATCAAATGTGATTATACAGATCTAACACCTAAGTATAGCTGTGTTAAAAGCAGATCTAAGGGCCAGGGATTTAGCTCAGTGGTTCTGCTGCCTGCCTCACAGGCTCAAGGACCTGAGGTCAATCCCCAGTACCAAAAAAATGGGTTATAACTAAAAAACAAGTGTGTTTGACCATTCAGATTTTTTTGGCTAAAATCTCGGTATCCTTAATATATAATAATATCTGGATATCAAACAAAATTTTCTTGATAGCTGAACAGGTCAAAAAGCCTGGAGCTAGGGATACAACTTAGTGGTAGAGTGCTTGCCTAGCATGCACAAATCACTGGATTCTACCCTCAGCATCAAAGTCTGGAGCATGCAATATATACCATGCTGCTCATAGGAGTTACCCTGTGGAAGCAGGGGAAGGAAAAGGTTAAAAATGTTTTTCAACTGGGCATGGTGGTGCACGCCTGTAATCCCAGCACTAGGGAGGCTGAGGCAGGAGGATCACTGTGAGTTCCAGACAAGTCTGGGCTACATAGTGAGTTCCAGGGCAGTGTCAACTACTAGTGAGACCCTGTCTCAAAACAAAAGACAACAAACAAACAAACAAACAAACAAAAAGTGTTTTTCAGACAAGGATTTAGCTCAGTGGTTCCGCTGCCTGCCTTGCACGTGCAAGGGCCCGAGTTCGATTCTCTATACCCCCCCCAAAATGTTTGTTTTTCATCTTTCGTATTAGTATACTTACATATTACTTGAATATTTTATAATAAGCATATATTACTGTAATCTTAAAAGTGTACCTTAGCTACAACCAAAGTGCCCAAAGAAATAAACAACCATGTGAATACTGGAATCTTAAACCAGAACATAATAGTACAACAGAGATTACAAAGCAAACATGAGAAGAGACAAGTGTGAGTTCGATTTTGCAGCCAAGTTTTTATCTAGCTAGAAATTGACAGAGAACTTTGGGAAATGAAGAAAATCCTGGGAAAATAAAGACCAAGAAGCCTTTACATAAACCATAGCGAAAAACCAGTAATACTTTAGTGCAGAAGAAGATAGACCAAAAGTATAGGAAAAATATCAATGTCGTTTCTATCAAAACATCTCATGCTTAGCAGATGGATACTATAAAAAAGTATAATACTTATGAAAGAGTAATCTTATACCCATATACTCCTCTCAAAACAGGAAGTAGCAAGCATAACCAAAAAAATGGAAAACAATATAAATGTCCAAAGGCTGGGGAAGGGTTAAGAAGGGAAGGACTACCTGATATTATGCAGCTATTAAAACTTATCTGTAATCAAGTTTGGTAGTACATGCCTGTAATCCTAGCACGCTAGGAGGCTGAGGCAGGAGGATCACAAATTCAAGCATAGTCTTGGCAATTAGCAGTTTAGAAGACACTGTCTAAAAGAAAAAAAAAATTTTTTTTTTAAAAGAGTCTGTAGAAAGTGGCGAAAACAGTATAAAAGTTAGTGGGGAGCATCTTAGCTACTAGAGAGGTTGAGATAGGATAATAAGGTTGAGGCCAGCCTTAGCAACTTAGTTAAGACCCTGTCTCAGAGTTAAACAATAAAAGGATATAGCTCAATGGTAGGTACTTGCCTAGCATGTGTGAAGCTCTTTGGGGGGAGTGGGTAACTTATAAACTTAAATTATTTATTAATTTTATAAGACATCACTAAGAAGTCACTGTGTTATTTGCTTCATGTTGAGATACATAAGTATTATTTGTATCCGGCCAGAAATCCTGAAAGATTTATCAAAATCTGGTCCCTGAACCAGGTATCTACACTACATCAAATGCGGTGCTTACAAGCAATGCAGATTTCTGTGCTGTTTCAGACCACTGGAACTGCTCTAGATGTTTCAGGACAGTAACATTAGAATTAGTGAAGTGCACCAGAAATTTCACTATTGCGGAACTGAAATTTTACCCCCCATAGCATCTTTAACATTTCAGAGATGTAAAAATGTATCAGGTAATGAATGTATCTTCATCTTGTTTGTGAAAGTATCGCTGTTGAGATAACATGCAAACACCACTTAGAAGTTTCTAAAAGGAGGAAAACGTGCTAATACTCAGTGTAAAAAAATGAAATAGAACAAAATATTTGCTTTGTTTAGCATCACTTACGTTCTGAGGATGGAAGCATGAGGCAGCTTAAGAATCTTTCTGACGTAGTCATAGACTTTACTGCTGCACAAGTATAGCGTGCATGCAAACTGTTTCATTTCCGTGGAGTACTCAGCTGTTTCTTTCCAGTTATATAAGTCCCATTTAAAATCTGTTAAGAGAAATTATTTTTATAATGAGAAATGTGAAGAGTAACATTTTCAGACCGGGGGGAAGGGGAAGGCGACCACCCGGAATCACCCAACTTCAGAGTCAAGTCCACTATCACAAGACATGGACTACAGTATTTGGATATATAGACCGAACTTCATGTCACCTTGTACCTGAGGCTAATACCACTTAAGGCCCCTGACCTATCTGCCCTGAATAATTCAATAGCAATAGGAAAGAAACAAAAAAAAAAAATTCACCTTGAATCATGTTTATTTACTGGCAGCCGGACTGGAAATCTTTAGAGGAAAGGAAGAAACTGAAATAATGAGACCGAATTAAATCTCTGGGTTATAAGGACTTTTCCCCCTTTTGTTTCCTCATTACTATTTAGCTGAGTGTGAAAATTAGATATGAGAAATATTTTTGGGAAAAGTGTGCTATTCAGGTTTAGTAGTCCATCTTGCCTGCTATTAGGGGGGAAAAAGTCTCCCCATTTGGAGATAAGGACTCTGTTCTAGGAACAGGGTATGCTTCTGTTTCCCCCCAAAATAAGTTTAAAATCTGCTTCTTTCATCAAAGACTAAACTGGGAATTCTTGTGTCCCTTTTCCTGGTAGACAGACACCTAAATAGTCTTTCCATTCTGTAGGGAACTAGGACATGATATGCATAGATTGGTGAGGGGCTAGATTACAGGTCCCCAGATTACAGGGTGTCCTCCCCACCCAAGACCCAAGGTCAGACATTAACTTGCCTCAGGAACAGAGAAGTTCCTGGCTGTGTGGAAAGCCATAAACAAAGCACTCCAGAGACCAGGTAACACCACTTAGGACAATAAACTATGCAAATATCCAGGTTCTAGGAAGGACTTTTTCCTTTGAGATGTTAAACTTGGTCTCAATCTTGCTATTCTACACCCTCCCCCGCCCTTCTTTGTGAATAATAAAAGTGGATCCTCCCAGGAGTTAGGGGAAGCAGGTTCAGTAGTTTCCTCCCAGTCTTGCATTGAAAATTGTGTATTGTGTCTGTTTCTTTTATTCCCCATCATTCTCCCAACAGGCATTCAGGGGCCTGAAGAGCTCCCATCTATAAATTCTACTGTGCATTTCAGGGAAAAACAAAACAAAACAAAAACTCAGACTGATAAAATCTCCAAGTGCCAAGATTTTGCAGAGCTGGATGTGGGCACACACACCTGTAATGCCAGCACTTAACAAAACTGAGGTAAGAGTTCGAGGCCAGCTGGGTAACACAGTAAGTCTGAACCTGCCCTGAGCTACAGGGGGACAATCTTGTCTTCAAAATAAACAAACAGCCGGCCTCCTGATAGCGCATGCCTGTAATCCCAGCACTCAGCACTGGGGAGGCTGAGGCAGAAGGATCACTGTGAGTTCGAGACCAACCTGGGCTACATAGTGAGTTCCAGGTCAGTCTCAACTACATAGTGAGACTGTCTCGAAAACCCAATGAATAAATAAATTAAATAAATAAAAAAATAAAAACTGTAAATTTTCTAGCTCCACTGTATTACAAGATATTGGTAATAAATTATGTAGCAATTAAAAGTATAAAGAATTTCTAGTAGCATGGGTCAAAATTGTGCTCAAAACGAAAAGTACAGAAAATTGGATAAGATCTCACTTCTGAATAATGGGATTATGCATTATTTTTACTGTTTAAATATTTCTTTGCTTTTTCAATATTAAACTTGTTGCTTTTATACCTGGAAGACCAAGAGATCGCAAAAGGACTTTGATGGTTACTCTTCATTCTTGCTTATGTTGAGATTCTTCCCTTCCCAGCTGAAAGCATGTTCTCATAAGCAATGTCAAAGTAAAGATTTACTGGAAAAATAAAGAGCCATTTTGTAAATCTTACAGGCCACTGGGAGAGTACCTGAAAACTGTGCTCGCAGCAGACACTCTGTTTCTTCAGAAAGTAGTTTTTCTTCTACAAGCGCATCAATTAATTGCAAGCCCTTTCTCCTCTTGATCATTCTGTAGTTTTTTACAGTGACAATTCTTTTTGGGGACATTTGTAACATTTGTTGCACCTCAGCCAGTTTCTCTGCACCTACTGTCCAGGGATTTCTTAAACTGTAGTTATGGTCTTCAGTAGCAACCTCTTCAGAATCATCTAGAAGTGGCTGTTTTTGGATGTTCTGACTTGCTTTACCTGTAAGATGTACACCTGGAGGAACCTGTAACAGAAATAGAAAATTAAGGTTATTTTAGAAATCATCCCTTAGTAGATTATGTATAAAAATACTGAATAGAAAGCACTCACTTGGTTGTCTTGGAGAGTTAGATATGAAAGAAAAGATCATAAACTCTGCACTTAAAATGCATAGTCTACAAGACCATACAAAGTTGTCTTTCGCTTGCATCTATCCAGAAGTATTAATGTGATGCTAAAAGTTTCTGAAATGATTCCAACAACCAGAAGGGCTGCGTGCAGAGTTGCATGCTTGCAGTCTCAGCACTCTGAGAGGCTGAAGCAGGAGACTCTCAAGTTCAAGTTCTGCTCCAGCAATTTAGTGCAAATCCTGCCTCAAAAATAAAAGCACTGGGGTTTGAAGCTCAGGGTAAATTTCTGGGATTCACTTCCCAATGCTCAAAAAAGGCAGGGGGTTGTGGTAGTAATTTGGTAAAGCTTCCTGGAACCTTTTGAGTAGTCCTTTGTTTTGTTTTTGGTACAGGGGATCCGGCTCCCGCCTTTGCTGCTTGCGAGGCAGGCAGCAGAATCACTGAACCAAATCCCAAGCCCTTCGAGTAGTCCTTTGAAGGGCCAGTAACATGGTTTAATGGAAAGGACACAGGGCTTTGGAGTTATTACTCACTGGATTTGAATTCTTGTTCTCTTACTTATTAGCTGTCATTTAATTTAAACGCTATAGGGCTGGGGATTTAGCTTGGTTGGTTCTGCTGTCTGCCTTGCAAGCCCAAGGTCCCAAGTTTGATCCCAGGTACCAAAAAATAATATTAATAATTTAAACACTATAATCCCTTACCTCCTCACCTATAAAATGAGGACTGTTTTGAGGATAGAGTAAAATAATTTATGTAAATCTTCTAGAAGAATGCCTAGGCCGTTTTAGGTCTCAAAAAAAAGTACACAAAGGCATAAAAGCAGTATATGATTTGAAATTATATTGAGGGTAGTTAAGAGGTGCACAGATCAATTAATGGGAAGCTAAAGGAACACAAAATTTGAATTTAACACCAACTATGTAGGTTTTGAGGGAGGGGGCACAAAATAACACAATCCTGAAAGGGGACTCCAGTGAACAGCAGTAAGGAAGGATAAGGTCAGACCACTCAGGTAACTGTCACAGACTGTGTTGAAAGAGAAAGCCACACTCAAGGATTGTGGTTAGGTAAAAAAACGGCACACAGTAAAAGGAAACAAGAATGCAATACCAATATGAACATTCTAGAAATCTCACTCTCCATGTACTTTTTCTTTTCTTTTTTTTTGGCACTGGGGATCAAACTCAGGTCCTTGTTCTTGCAGGGCAGGCGCCGGAACTACTCAGCTAAATCCCCACCCCTCCATGTACTTTTTCTTTTATCAGTGTTATTAATCATATTTTGGTTAAGATCAGTAACATTATTAGGAGCCAAAAAAAAGATAACTTCAAAGTATTATGAAAACTGGATCACATTTAACACAAGCCTGAATTCTAAGGCCATTCATATTATTAACTAGTTGATTTTTGTGATTATACTTTTTATAAAAGCTTGAGGACAGGATGATAACATTACAAATACATTAAAAAAACTTCTAAGGCATTTAAATCCATTATTATATCTATTTTAAACCTGGGGATTTTCTCATCTCTGTAAATACTAGCAGCAATGTTAACCGCCATGATTTTAAAAGGCTGTGTGCAATTTAGTCCTGTCTGCATCTAGATTTAAGTACCTTGCGTAGAGAAAGTGAAGGCACAGCTCCTTTTTTCAGCTTTCTTCTTACACCGTAGGACTCAAAGTCACTTTTCTGAAAATGCCTGGAACACAGTATAGCACCTGGTCCTGGAATCCAAATTTTTTTGCTTCTGGGGTCCACACGGTTGACAGCCCTGATCCATTTGGAGCGCTGTATCGTATCAGTTGGAAATCTAAAGCAACCATATTAAAGTTTCATTACCATGACGATAGTATGTAACGCTATGGTGGTAGTTATTACATAAAATTATTCATCAACTGCTATATGTAAACATAAAGCCTAGTAAAACTTTACCAAATTTCAAAGTTTTTTTTTTTAAATCCAAAAGTTCAATATTTTAATGTTTGAAACCAATGGGGGGCAGTGTTCACTTCAGCAACACATATGCTAAAATTGGAATAAAACGCGGCGGGCGGGCAATTCTCATATTAAATATCCTACCACAGGGTGTTCACTGCCTACACTTACGGAAATCTGTTCCAAGTTAAACAGTTAAATGATGCCTCTTTCCCTTGCCTGTGGTGATTTTAAACTAGGTCACAAATTTTTCGGTACCCATAACGTACTTGTCCTTTAAAGAGGTGGAATCTACTCTCCCTCTACTTGTATATGGGCTGGAAAAAGTAGAAGTGACCAGATAGTAGGTCATAAAAGGCACAGAGACTTCCTTTTTGCTCTTTCAACTGAATGGCTTGATACAGACAAGTTACCTACCAGGTATGAGCAGTCCGAAGCATCTCTTTGGGAAAAACTGAAGCCTCTACCCAAAGGCTATAGGAGTTAATCTATATTTTGTTGTTTTGAGACAGCGTCTAGCTTTGTAGTTTAGAGTGGAAAGAGAAATTTAAGAGTGTGTTCAAACAGCTGGATATGGTGGCTCACACTGTAATCCCAGCACTTTAGGAGACTGAGGCAGGAGGATCACCACAAGTTCAAAACCAGCCTGGGATACACAGTGATATCCTGCCTTAAAAAAAAAAAAGTAGTCAGACAAGCAGGGTGTGGCTAGGCATGGTGGTACATGCCTGTAATTCCAGCACTTGGGAGGCTGAGACTTGAGGATTACAGAGTTCAAGGCCAGCCTGAACATATTTTAGTCTGAACATATGGTCTCAAAAAACAAAACAAAAACAATCCAAGCTGGGTGTGGTAATATATGTCTGTAATACCAGCACTCTAGGAGGGCTGAGACAGGAGAAATCCAAGTTCAAGCCCAGCTTGGGCAATTTAGACCCACTCTCTTAAAACAAAAATGGCCAGGGATTTAGCTTAGTGGTTTCAGTGCCTGCCTCACAAGGGCAAGGACCCAAGTGCAATCCCTGGTACCATTAAAAAAGAAAAAGGTCTGGATAGGTAGCTCGGTGTGAAGGTGACTGGTTTCAAGTTTAAGCACAAAACAAAACAAAACAAAAACAAAACAACTCTGGGACTATGGTTAAACAGAATTCCACTCTCAACCACTTTGAGAAAGAATATGGAATTGCAAAGCCTCTATTCTAA